CTCTGTGGCCCCTCTGACTCCAGAGCCCGGCTTCCTGTCTCTGTGGCCGACTGCGGAGATCTTTAACTGTACACGACTAACTGACATGCATCTGAGTAAAGCTTCAAATAGACAAGTGGGGACAGATATTCATATTCATTTATCATATCAGATGAATGTTACACAGAAATACTTAAAGGAAAATGCAGCATTTGTCAACCTGGGTCTTAATAACTCCCCCTCCTACAGTATTGGGGCCTCAACGTTAACCGAGATTTGCTCAACTGCTATTGGAGCAGAGCAAAAGGGGGAGGGGCTTAAGGTCAATTATGAGACGCAGGCTGAAAAATATTGAATTCCTTTAAGTGTGCATCTGGACTGCTGTAAACGTGGAATCCAACGATGGATTAATAATAATAATAATAATAATAAATCAAGGCATTTTTCTACACTTTGTTTTAATCCCGTCAGCTGACACAAAAGCTGACTAAATGACCGAACGTCTTCCTCGTCAACACAAACACGTGATGTCATGTTCATGTAGAAACATTTCATTGGTAATAATGACAGAAAAGATCATAAGAGCTGACTTCAGTTCAGCCAGTTGGGCGATAAATGAAACGCATTAACTTTGCTCCGAGGTGGTGACTGTGCAGTTTCAGCCAGATCTATAATACAGTGGTTCTCTTTATACCTGCTCACTGACACTAGCACTATATAATCCTGTAGCACTTCAAACCTTTGTTCTGTACGAGCTAATCCACGTCCCAAACAGAAAAAGACTCTACAAAATGGACATCAAATAAAAACCTAAATCTTCGGTCTGGAATGGAAATTTCAACAGTTGAAAAAAAAAAAAAAAGGGGGAGACGGGACAGTTAAATTATCTGTCACATCACATTTCATCCTCAAACACGGTCGGTGCTCAACTGAACTCTTACCCAATCCATGTGGAGTAGAGCCTCTCCTGGGGAGCAGAAATGTGGACGGGAAAAACAATCACAGGTCACAAACACATTTCTACAGATATGGACCCGCTGCAGCAGCGTATCACAGAACCTGGACTCACCTTGATCTTCACGTCTTTGGGTGCCAGCTTCTTCACTTCAGTTAGTAGTCGTTCCCCAAATCCTGAAAGAACAGAGAGTGTTAATGTCAGTGAGACAGAGAGGATAGCAACCAGTTTGAATTACATGGGAGGCAGGAGGGGGTTTAACTCCCCTGGCAGAAACTAAAGTTAACACCAACCTTTGATCCCCCCACACAATACTATGGTGGAGTACAGCGTGCGTCTGAGGTCCATGTCAGACTTCTGGATGGCGTAGGCCAGGACCTCGTGGATCCCCGAGCTCTCGTCTCCTATCAGGTCGGGTCTGAACAGCAGCTCTGGGGCTCGGAACCTGGCCGGGCCGATCTGAAAAGGAGGACGCGGTTCAGAGGGTTTTTGGTGGTCGGGAGGTTTTCAACCTTTTAACATCTTTACAAAACCCTCGTCAGTATCTGAGGGACTCACGTTTAAAGTGCTTCCATCGGGGAGAACGTACTGAGCCTTCTCTGTTTCTAAAGTCTCGTCCTTTTGCAGGTTGAGGGACAGATAACAGGCTCTCTGCAAAAGTTGGAGACACATTGGATTAGATAAAGTTCTTCATGTGTCAAATAAAAACACTCCCCGCCTGCCGCCTGGCGCCGTTACTTCTTTGATGGTGCGGACGACCTCGAACTCTGCCGAGGTGTTGAAGTTGTAGCCTTCCTTGCGCAGCAGCAGGCGGAGGTACCGCGACACGTCTCGTCCCCCGAGTCCAACACGACACCGGTGGTGCGACCTGTGGCGTACCTGCGTGAAACAGAGGTCACACCATCATCGTCACACCATCATCATCATCATCATCATCAGTCTGGATGTTTGTGTTCGATAAAGGTTGGAGAGCTCAATTAATCGTCCACTGACAGTGAGGAACATCAGCTAGCAGCCCGGTTCACAGCAGGTAGAGTGCGTAAGGAACTGCTGACAGGGTTTATGCTAAACAGGAAATGTACTCGTAAAGTCTTCTGTTAGTTGGACAACCTGCTCTTCCGCCTGAGCCACAGCACGTGAAGTTGTCCAACAGATGAAATAAATACACAGTAAACACACAATATGTAAAAAGTTTTTCTGAGAAATAAATGATAATAATAATAATAATCATAATTTGTCAAATTTGAGGTAGGTTGAGTGTCTGGTTACAGTCCTCGTAGATTAATCTGCAGTTTATAAAGTAAAAAGGGTTTTATTGTTGGTTTTTCCTCCAAACAGACTTTATAATGGTGCAGTATCGACTGTACAGCAGATGACTGTCACGCTGTGTGTAACAACAGTAACACACTGTACACCGCACACAGCCTCACTCGACTATAAGTCAGCAGTAATGGTGACACTTTGGTTCTCAAACCACTGAAAAGTTGCAGAAGTTGACATAAAACTGGAGAAGCTGATGAAGAGGAGGCACAGAGACTGTGTACTCCCAGGCTAAGGACCGCCTGCATGGAGATGAAGAGAGCGGGAACGTTGAAGTTCTCGAAGAAAATCTCCGCAGCCTTCTCCCTGTTCTTGCTGGGGTTGAGAGGGGCCTCGGTCAGCAGTACAGGATGCTGTGAGACACCAACAGGGTTACGGGTCAGATCTGCCGACCTTCATCGTCACGGTGCTGCGTGAGAGGAGGAGCACTCACCTCCTCGGAGAACGTCTGCAGTTGCTCCTTGGAGTAAACGTACTGCCAGATCCTCTCCATGTCGTTCCAGTCCTTCACTATCCCGTGCTCCATCGGGTACCGCACCGACAACAAGCCCCTGTGCTCCTGGTCGCCGGGGGACGAAGACGAGAGACACATGGCAGTTATGTGACAACGGCAGCTCGTAAGACCGGAGCGGACCAGTGTTTGCATCCAGTGTTTAACCCTCGAGGCACCTTGGGGGACCAAACGTGTACATTCTGCCTTTTTGTTTGTTTGATTCTCAAAATATCATTTTAAAGGCTAATTGTATGAAACTTGGCCAGGATTTGTTTTTTATTCTTATTTTTAAAACGCCATGATCCCCTCTGTTGTAAGGTGTATTTTTTTTTAATTATATTTATTGGATTTTCATAATTAACTTGACACATACATTAATGAGGGATTGCATGCCCATATTTAGAGAGAAAAGAAAAGAAAAGAAAAAACAAAAAGAACATAACACTGAAGAGAAAAAAAAAACAGAAGAGGGAGAATGATAATAAAAATGAAATTATTACCTTGCAATTCTTATGTAGCTGTTGTGTTGAATATCACATTTTCTTATATACTTCACTGTCCTTTACAAGTATTCAACTTCTTGATCGGTGACTTTCAAGAAATTCAATGAATTGTCCCCATAGCTTAAAAAAGCTCTGTATTTTTCCTTTGGTGGCATAAGTCAGTTTCTCCATGGCCAGAATGTTGGATAGGCTTTTAAACCAGTGTTTAACTCAGGGAGGCTCAGTGCTCTTCCAGGAAGTTGCTATACAGTGTTTAGCCTGAAGTGAGCACAAAATGACAATCTTTTTATTCGCACCTGACACTCCTAACTCAGTTGGAACTAGTCCTAGGATAAATACCCGAGGGCAAACAGGCAGTTTGACAGATATAATATCAGATATAATTTTTTTAAGTTTTAATCTACATGTATAAGATCTGGCAGGTATTGTTCTAGCCTTAGTGCTATGGTTTTAGCTATGAGTTTAGTATCTGAGTTCAAGAGTGATATGGGTCGGTAGGAGTCACATTTAAATGGCGGTCTACCAGGTTTCAGGATGTTCGTAATAAGGGCTCTGGAAAGAGAAGGTGGCAAGGAGTTGGCTCTGAATGCCTCTTCAAACATATTTAAAAGAGGAGGAAGCAGCTTATCTCTAAAGGTTTTGTAAAAATCGATGGGGAGCCCATCAGGGCCCGCCGCTTTCCCCCCCTTCATGCACGCGAGGGCCTCCTGTAACTCTGAAAGCTCCACTGGCCTGTCCAGGATTTCTTGGTCCTCAGGGGAAAGAGTGGGGAACTCAAGCCTATCGAGAAAACTGTTTTGTATACTTTTTCTTAATTATGATTTCACTTTCTAATGATTTAATTTCTTTTTCAATTTCCAACATTTTGTTTTTGAATTGTTTAGATTTAAAACTGGAATAGCTAATTATTTGCCCTCTGATATGAGCTTTAAAAGCTTCCCATCTAACTAAGGGTAAAGTTTCAGACGAGTTGACCTGGAAGAACAATTCTATCTGTTGGTCAATGAAGCGGATAAACTCTGGGTCCAGTAGCCACTTGGTATCAAATCTCCATCTGGGAGGTCCGCGGAATTCTTTCGAAGTACTGTATTCTATAGACACTGTAGCATGGTCAGAAATTATTATGCTACTGTAATAGCATTTCTCAACATAAGAGAGTGAAGTCCTAGAAATCAAAAAGAAGTCTAGTCGTGAAAACGTTTTATGAGTTGCTGAATAGCAGGAGAATTCTCTCTTATCTGGGTTAAATTCCCTCCAGACATCACACAGGCCCAGCTCATCCATAAAGTTGAGGATTACTTTCCTAGATTGATTGTGGGAGGAGTCTTGATTACCATTTCGATCAATATTGGGGTTCAATGCGCAGTTATAGTCCCCACCCATAATAATTTCCCCTCTTAATGATGAAAGTGTTAGAAAAATGTTGTTATAAAATTGTGGATCGTATTTATTAGGGCCGTAGACATTAACTAAATTAAGATATTGGCCAAATAAATTCCCTTGTAGAATGATAAATCTTCCCCCAGGGTCCAGAGTGGTGGTATTTATTTGAAAGGGGATGGATGAATAATTAGCAGTAAAAACCTGTCCCTGCCATCTCCTTCTTATCCTGATAACCTCACCTGAACTTAAATGTGTCTCCTGAAGAAACACAATTTTTGATCCCAGGTGTTTAAGCCTAGACATCACTTGTTTTAATTTCACCAGTCCGCCCAGGCCACATTCCATGATGATATTTTACATAATTGGTTACTAGTCATGGAGCAATTTAAAGAGCATTCTGTTAGTGGGGAAAATCCTGAGTTTGTATTTCTGTATCACCGCTTGTAATATCAAAGTCACAGGAAAAGCAAGGAAACAAGGTAGAATAATAAAAAAAAACATTGAAAAGATACTGAACATTTGCAAGAACCTGCATAAACAACAAAACTTTATACTAACAACTACTGACTGTCTTTCTATTCTACAGTCAAAACCAGATTAATATACCAATTTCCTTGGCTCTTATTGCTCCTACACAGAGGAGCTACTATACGTGAAATTAACTTACCTCTGCTACCATTTATCCCTGACCATCAGTCTCAATTGTTTAATGGCCCTTTTGTATGTGACAACATTCTTTTAACATTGAATAGTATAGTTTGTCAACACCCAATTATCAAAAAATAGGAGAACTCTCCTTAAATAATCAGGTTATATTATTTAGATAGTATAATCTATTACTCAACTGTCCTCTCAGGTGACTCACATCTCAATGACTATAAAATGACTATTTTGTACAATCTGGGTGTACTTAACATGTAACAGACTCTTACACTTAGATACACAAACAGAGAACTAAACTGGTGCGGATTAGTTACCTTAACACCTGAAGTAGTCAGTTAGTGACAACCTTTCGTCTTTTCATAGTCCACCCTGGCCATCTCCTCGTTACCATCCCTAATGTATTATCTTCAGAAGGTGATAAACACAGATTGACAGGAGTAAACGAAATATAGTTTCTGAAAACAAGTTTTCCAGGAGTACCTTGAACGTCACATCATACGCAGCTCTTGCTGAGAAACAGAACAGGATCAGTGTCCACAAACTCCCGGGCTATGGTCACCTTGTGTAGATATCTATTTATTAAACTCCCTCTGGGCATCACTCTTAGTTTTTATTCTGGAGGAACGTGTGTACATCCTGAGGAGTCTGAAAAGTAATGTTCTTCCCGCCATGTGTGATGCGGAGCTTAGCAGGAAACTGCAGACCGTATTGGATTCCCTCTGCTTCACCGTATCATATGCTTTTCTCTGGCGTTGCACTTCAGCTGAAAAGTCAGAAAAAAACTTAACCTGCCTGTTTTCGTGCATAACCTTGCCTTTTTCCTGTGCGGCTTTCATCACACGAACTTTGTATTTGAAGTTTAAAAACTTCATTATCAGGGGCCTGGGAGGTGAGGCTGGGCTCCTAGATTTTACAGGACCGGTCGGAATGCAGTGGGCCCGCTCAATCCTCACAGGTGTGGGGAAAATCTCTGCTCCGAGGACGTCCGGGAGCCACCTCTCCAGGAAAGTCTCAGCATCCTTCCCCTCTGTGTTTTCTGACAGGCCGATGAGATGATTCTCCAGGTCCTCGTTCTTCTCAGTGAGCGATTTCACTTTTGTTTCCAGATCAGTTACCTTGGATGTGAGCTGCGCTGTTGCATCCTCTGTGTCACTAATACGGCTTTCAGCAGTGGTTAGTCGCCCCTTGATAGCGTCCAGATCCGTCCTGATGTGTGCGATGCCTTCAATGACTTACCTGTGTCGCTCTAACCTTTCTGCTTTGAGAGATTTGATGTCCATAAGCACAGTCTCCTGCTGTTGAGTAGGAGTGCCTTGTTGGGTAGTTTCATTGGAGACTGTGGCCGTTTAATAATGCTTTTCCCATGAATACTGTTGAGGAATCTCTGGATTTCAAAAACTCTGCCTGCCATGTTTATGCCTTCATGTGTGAATGTTATGTGGGGTGCAGTTAAAGTTCTTTCCAGTCTCGTCTGTCGTAGTGATGTCATGGTGAATGCCTGTGAGTTTACATACGCTACCACACTATGTGTTTGTATTGCATGTCCCATTACAATGTGTGCTGTTTTGTTCAAAACTTTTGCGACCCCTGCAGCATATCTCATGCATGGTGGGTGTCTGTTCTCTGTTGCATCTAGTGTGACGCTTGCATAGGTCAGAACTTGTCTCCCACCCCCCTTTTTCTGAAAAAGCACCCCATTGGGTTTTTCAGAAACATCCAACTCATCATTCAGTTCTACTACAGCCGCTATCCCTTCTGGTCCTGCAAACAAACACTTGGTCTCCACCTGAGCCCCCGCACCCTCCACGGCCATAAATGCCTCATGATACACCCAAGTTTCATCCCGATCATAAAACAATGTGATATGGAGAGGATCAGGGGGAGGGGCATAGGGATTCAGCATATGCAACCACGGCTTCCAGTCTGTGTACAATGAATTTACACCACCCCCTTTCGACGTCTCTGGCAGCACCAACCCCCAGTAGATATCCACCCACTGCCCTATAGCGCCCGGTGTGTTGTCTTGATCTAAAAGCATCTGTGAATGAGACCGCACCTGGCTCCCCGATGTCAGAGGTTCCTGGGCCTCGTCATTGTTCTTGGTGGTCATGGGGACCTACTCTACCCAGTCAGGGATTGGATACAAGTCATGGTCGTTGCGGGCACCTAGGGAGGGGTATTGTCCTCTAGGGGCTGCAGCAGTATTTGGAGCTTGGTGACGTACGTCACGTGGTGGTGGGCCATATCCCTGCTGTGGTGGACCATACCCTGGTTGTTGTGGGTAGTCATTTTGGGGTGGTGTATCTATTCGGCAGTGTCTTGCCCAGTGACCTGGTTGACCACAGATCCAGCATAGACCACAGGGTTGTTGTGGTGCCATGCCTCTTCCCCGCCCTCCCGCTCTAAACCCTCCCCTTTCCATCTGTCGTGGAGGTTGAGCATACATGTGCTGCACATGCGGGTACGCCGGCGCAGGGGGAGCCATCGGCTGCTGCTGTACCTGACCCTGCTGGGACTCTGCTGTAGGCTGCTGTAACATTTGAGTGTTTGATTTTGTTATTTTCTTAGCTTCAGTTAGCTTACGGCGCTCATTCTCTAGTTGTTAGGGTTAGGGTTATACATAAATCCCAGCCATTTGTTAGCTGGCTGAATTTATCCATCCATTTGTGGCCCCCCCTCTGTGGGTGCTGGCATTTTCTCTAAAATGCAATTCATGTCTGTGAATGAGAATGGTTGATACACTGTATTTCCATTGCTCTTGGCGATGAGTGGCATTGCAAGTGATGGCAGTTGCACTACGCTTCCCTTTTTTTGACCGATTTTAACATGTTGGGATGGGTGCTTTTGTGTATGTGAGCGTGTGTTGTGTATCAAAACCGACAGCATGGGTGATGGACCCCTATTAGGGCTGGGCGATATGGCTGAAAAATGTATCACGATATAAGTGTTTCATATCAGTCGATATCGATAATTATCGATTCGTTTTTTTAACCTATTCTAAATGAGGACCAGGAGAAAAAAAGGCTGAGTTTAAATACTTTTATTTTAAACGTAACCTTTAACCTTTATAAAGAGGTCAACACAACTATGAAAAACAGTCAAATAAATAAACATACTGGTCAATGTGCAAATATAGACATTAAATAAATGCTTAATCCAACAAAATGTGCAAATATATATATGTGATATATCTTGCTCTGGCTGGTTGTGGTATATGACTAGCTGCCCTGACATCTGTGCATCACATACTTGCAGGTATTGCTCGTATTCCCCCTTTCTTCTTCCCCCTCTCCATATGTGATCTCCTCCTCATCGGTTTCGTACCCCCCCCCGCCACTCTCTGCTATTCTCCTGTCTATCTTTGCCTGGAATGGTCCTGCTGGACTCCCTGTCTGATTTTTCTCCCCCCCTTCGCGCTGCTTTTGCTCCCTGTGCTGCTCTGCGTCAGTCCCCACAGTACTTCTCCTATCTTCCTCTCTCTCACTCCCCCCCTTCTGGTGTTCCAGCTTCTCTGTAGGGAATGTATCCTCTATAACCGACACTGGGCATCTTATTTCTTCCTGTTTTTTAACCTCTGCCTTCAACTGGGCTATCTTCTCCTGCTGTTGCTCCCAGTATGTTTTAACTTCATCCAGGTCCTTTGTCTGCCCCTTTATTATCTCCCGTAACTCTTCAAATTGCTTTACTGTCCCTTCAAAGACGTTCCCCTCTAAATCCAATTGGCCTGAGTCTGTGTACGGCGAGAGTCCATGGCATAAGGAGGGTTGTCGAGGTATGGGTATAAGGGCCATGGTCCTAGCTCCATAGGTGGAGCAGTCTTGGTCACAGTCGTGGTCACAGTCTTTGTCCGTGCTCCTATTGCTGCTCAGGCTAATGACATCGCGTGTACTGAAGCTCTCTTTGTCTATCTCCTCTGAAGTCTTCTTCCACTTTATCTTGGCCAGCCAGCCCTGTTGTACTCTAGTGTCCTGCTTTTCTAGCTCGTCTACTACAGTCTTCCCTGCGGTAGCTAAATACGGCAACAATTTCACCCTCTCCATGTTACCAGGTACATGTCCCTGCTCCTGGAGCCAAGTCCATGTATCATCATGTACTTTCATCATTTTATCTTGTTCATCTTTAGGAAATCCACTAGTCATTTGTCCCCTGACTACTTCCCACTGCGCTAACTGAGGCCCCCCCATTCTCCCCACTCTCTTTATTAAATTCCTTTTCCAGTTTTTAAAAACAACCTGTAAAACGTGGTACAACACACTCATTGTAAAAACTTTAAAACACATACAGGGTTGGTGTGAATGACTCAGAGGTCAGTATTGTACAACTAACCCACTGAGACAAGCTTCTAGGCTGAAATAATCTTTTCAGTCCGGTCTCACTCGAGGGGTCCTCTCCCAGGCTTTGTACACACTTTTTAGACACACGTCTCCCGTATCCAACCACCCGTTTTCCCCACAGAACAGGCGTTAGACGAGATTCATGAGAATCTCACGAAAAAGTCTTAACTCCTGGACCCACCCACACAATACACAATCCCAATGATTCAGCCTTTTTAACAGTTTCACATTAAGAAACACTCAGCTGTCATGCTCAAATGTTTGCACAAGCAATATATCGTATGAACTCAGGCTATTTGTACCGCCGGCATTAATTTTTCGCTAGTACAAATTGTTTTAGTGCCGACTCTTAACGGTCACAGGGATTGAAACCCTTGGGCTAGTCCGAGTTTTCCTTTTTATCCCTCTCGGAGTTCCCTCTTCTGGTACTTACAGGAACCAGCGACCTGGGGCGTCTAGACCCCTTTTTACCCACCACCCATATAATGCGGCAGGTCGGGGCGGGTTTTAAACCGCTGGTGCTTTGTGGAGGCCTTTCACCCTTCACAGCACTCCAACCCTCGGGCTAACCTGCTCGTGCGCTTTCACAGCAGGTTCCCTATTGGCGACCTCCTTAAGGGAGCGTGCCCTATGTTGTACACTATACTGGTTTACACTATGCCTAGGACGAGTATGACAAGTGACTTCAAAACAGTTTTGACAATGCCCAATCGCAGAATTTTGTTATAACAGGCTTCTGCTTACCTTTATTTTATACGGATCCGCGAAGTTTTGCTGTCACTCAGTCCTCTCATCCGTTGTGAAGAAAAACTTAGTTGTCTCACTTCTCCGTCTTCATCACGTCGGGGTCACCAAATTGTTGAGGAATCGCTGTATTTCAAAAACTCATTCCTCACGTGTTCTTTTAATGAAGCAATAGGAGAAGATTTAGTTTACTCAATAATCAGCTTTATTCTTAACACCAGTAGAATGTGCAAAGTTTACAGAGCTCTGGGTTCAACTACGGTTAACCTGACATGCACAAGGTCTGCCAGTTCACAAAGTCAGTTCTTATATTTTTGCAGATAACACACATAGCACAAGATGGTAGAATCTCCACCCCTTGTCCTCTTGGTATCTTGACTCCAAGGATGGTGTTGATGGGGTAGCCAAAACCTAAGTTGTTTTTCACGACTGGAAGGAGTCTGTCCTGTGTTCTATCATTGTTTTTACGAGCTCCTGACACTGACCTCGGAGGCCGTGTTTACCGCTATCTCATCATACAAACATCTAATATTCATTACTTTATTTCTGTTATTAGTATTCCCTTAACAGCCCTTTATCAATGTAAGCATAATCAATGTAAGCACAAGTAAACATATTTCTATTCTAGTTAATAATTATACAGGTAAATATATAGAGTATAAATCACAGAATACTGTGATGGCTACTCCGAGCATCACATGTAGTAAACATTGTGGTTTTTTACTATTTTAAGCACTTTTGTCTTTGTTGTAACCAAATGAAGAAGTCGTACACACAGCACTGTATACTGTTGCCTATAGGCAGTCACTACAGTCTTATTATGTGTTAAATACGCCTAATTAGTTATTTTGTAGCTTGTGCAGCTGAAATTGGCTAGAGACGCTCCATGTTGCTATGACAACAATGCCGAGTCTTTAGCAGAAAGCAGAGCAGTAACCACGGTAACGTTAACGTTAATCAAAACGGAATATTCAGATATCAAACTGTGAGATATGATTGTGTAATAAGTAATGAACATGTGCAATCTGCGGTGGGTGCACCGTAAACCAGATAATCACTATAAACGTTACGAAACGTCCAAACTGCCTATTGCAACCAAGCTCGTCGTGTTGTGTGCCAAACAGAACGCAAAAACCCGCGGTTACTCGTTTTCAAACACGGATGTGACGTCGCTCTGGAGCTGCAAGTCGCGATTACAAGACAAAACGAACGCACCATTAGAGCTTCATCACATAAAGTTTCAATGGAGGCCTGGTTCTCTTACCTTGCAAAATGCATGGCAATAAAAAAAACTGAACACCATAAAAATGGTCTTGGTATGTTGGGAGAGATATAAAAGTGTTTGTGTGAGAGAAATAGAGAGAGAGAGAGAGAGAGAGAGAGAGAGAAATGAGAGAGAGAAATTCAAATCAAAGGCCAAATGAGCTATTTATGTTTTTTCTTGATCAAGAGAGAGCTTCCTCTCTCCTATTGGATACTTGGTATAGCGTGTTTATGCAGGTGAATATTAGAAGTGTGTGAGAATAGTTGGAATGGTAAATGGTAAATGGATCTGTACTTGTATAAAACCTTCCTAGTCTTCCGACCACTCAAAGCGCTTTTACCCTCCTGAGACCTGAGCTTTTGTTTGGGGTGCATTTTCAATTTCTCCTTTTTACTATAAAACTATGTCCCCATATGAGGACGCAGGGTTGCAGGAGGCTATACTACAGCCAGGTTCCTGCCAGGGCCCTGCAGCTCAGTGGAGGAAGAGGAGGAGGAGGAGGAAGAAGAGGAAGAGGCAATGGATGATGACACCTCTCCATGGAGACCAATTAAATGGGGAAATCCTGTGGTCTCCCACACATGAAGAGTCCCTGCCATTTGCCCAGAGGACTGTTTGCAGCCAGCCTGGTCCTACAAACCCAGGACCAGGTCCATGGTCAGGAGGAGGAAGAGGAGGAGGAGGAGCCATAGCCAGGGCCCTCTAGAAAGCAGAGGCAGTGTGTTGTGCCCACAGTGCAGAAGGGTTTGGACAAAAGTGCGCCAAATGTGGAGCACATGCATGTAAAATGTACCTTAAATCAGTGGTTTATGCCTTGAACTTTGAACACCCGCACATGCCAATACCCATGAAATCTTATAACAAAAAGGACAAAAAACATAAACAAATAATAATAAAAACGTTATGTCTATGGTTAGGTCTGAAGTTGTTGAAAAGATTTGATGTGGTGAAAGTGAAAAAAAATATTTATATATGACATTTTTATTACACTTTTATGAAGGACCATTTTGGGTCCCCAGGTTCAAACTTCTATGTTAATTTTAAAGGTGCCTCGAGGGTTAAATGGAGGACACCCCCTGATGGTTATTGTGGGGTTCAACAGCTCCCTCCCTCCC